GTAAATATCAGCCATAACAATTATAGCTACTGTGTAAATATATAAAAACTATACTATATACACAGGTATGGAATGTGTCCTTTTGAAAGCTCCTGGATAATGGATTCCTAAAGTCAGGAAGACAAAGTAGTAAATAATTCATGCTGTCAAGTAATAACAGACACTCAGACATGATTACAAAGCGCTTTTCCCTAGGATAATTATGTGAAGCATGGCTAAGCAGTTTAAAGAGCATAGTAGTAATGGAAGCTGTGCAGGGGAAGGCTGTTCATTTTTAAATGCAATTCATTGTAGATTAAATGTCTAATGCCATGTTTTCTTTCAAAATAATTATTTATTAAATTACATTAATAGTTTTTTAAATATCTACATTCTACACAGGGTCTGTATGTATATGTTTATAGCCACGAGGCTCTAGTGCATTCTTTATTAGCAAAATAAAATTGGCATGGTAGTTTTGGGCACTACTACTTTTGCTAGGTAATCATTATGTTTGCATAAGCAACTGATGCACACAAATTGGATTTATATCCTTTGTGGCTATTGGGGAATAGATTTCATTGATTTTTTTTGTACCTGGAGATTAGCTTGAAAGCATACTGTATGTCAAGACAAAATAAAAAAACATATAATATATCTTTAGAAGACATGTACATTCTCCATGATTTATCATTTAAACTTGCTGCATGTACAGAAAAATACCAATTTATATGCCAGAAATATAGAAAGCTTCTACCTTCCTTTTTTGACATACAGTTCTGAACTCCTAAACACATGATTTCAGCCCTGCCTACGTCTGATGGATTATAAAGAACACAGCTCTCTCTTCTCCCCCTTCCCTTCTTCTCTATCTTCATACCCCCTCCTCATGCACAGAACGTTATCAGATCACAAGATTTGTGACAATACCATCTCAGATAATTTTTGGATTCATTGAACGGATAATCATATATTATAGGGTTGCACAGATACCAAGTACAGTACTCGATACAAGTACGAGTACATGTACCGATACTTTTGAGCTCCAAGACTACACTAGAGAAAAATTCAAAAGTTAGGAGGCAGCTGTCATTTGTAAGGAGCACACGGAGCTCCTGGGATTTGTACATCCCTGTTTTAATGTATGATTTTGTTTTTATAAATATAAATAAAGGGATGCACAGATACCGGTTTTGCGAGTACGAGTACTGGTACTTGCCGAGTACTTACAAGTACGAGTACTGATACATTTTTGTTTATTGTCATGTGATAGTTTTTCTAAAACAATAAAGACTAATGATTTCAGGACAGTGGTGGAGTGCCAGAGCCAGGTCCCAGCTGCAACTGTATATATACACGTACATACATAAATATGAAATTATGAAAACAAAATATATAAAAGACAAAAAGCTTTCACTCTCGAAAGCTTGTCTTTTATATATTTTGTTAGTCCAATAAGAAAGGTATCATTGCACACTGCAATACTGCGTTTTTGTCTTTTTTGACATCTTATATAAATTTTTTTTCTATTACTAGGCTCCTTCCTTTCTTTCTTTCTTTCTTTCTTTCTTTCTTTCTTTCTTTCTTTCTTTCTTTCTTTCCTTCTTTCTTTCCTTCCTTCCTTCCTTCCTTCCTTCCTTCCTTCCTTCCTTCCTTCTCCCTCCCCCTGCTCCTCTCTTCTTCAAGCTATAGTAGATGGACAGCCATTGGAGACTGTGCTCTGTTGTCAGCCTGTAATCTTGTGCTGGAGAGGAATTTCAGGGAAGTGAAGCTAAGAGTTAGAGATGTGTTGAAACATGATGACTGTAAGTGCTTGGGCAAAAATATAAATACTTTTGCTGAGCAATTTATGATTTGATCTTGGTCTACAAATGTTTGATCTGGATTCATTATAGAAAAAAACAATCGAGAATTTACTTCTACTTTCACACTGACCGTGTTGGTCACAGTTTTCTGCATTCGATATATTGTGGCCTTTATTTGAAAAAAGCAAACAGAATTTCAACAGTCCAGCATTGGCAAAAAATCAGAAACCAGATTCACTGTCCTGACTTTACTAAAGCAAGCTGACACATGATGTGGCTTCACCCACAGCAGCCAATCATTGTACCCTATGAAGGTTATTTTCTGAGGCACTAATGTGTTTCCAGAAGGGTGAATACCTACTTCATACCTGTGCAGTTTAAAGCGACACTGGCTGATGATGAACAACAAAAGAATCCATAATTTTCTATGGTGCCCATTCAAACCTATGCGTTGTGCTGCTGTGCAAGGTGCAGGTGCTTCTTTTGGTGCAGTTTTAACCCCATAGGCTTCAAAAGGAGTACATGAAAAACACATGTAGCATGCATTTTCAAAGTTTTAACTAGGGATGTCCTAATACAATTTTTTCAAGAACAAGTACAGTACTTTCCCTCAGGTACTCGATAATACCAATTACCGATACTTTTTCTTAAAGGGACGTGACATTTTTTTCTAAAACAATACAGACTAATGATTTTAGAGCAGTTTCTTTATAATTATGAAGAACTGTAACTCGGAAGACTGTTTGGAAAAAATAAAAAAGCTGTTCTAGTGAGTAAATTGCCATCCTCCATATGGCAACCAGTCATTCATGTAATTGATAGGACAAACTCCGCTACTCAGTGCAAGTGTTTAACTCCCATCCGAAAACAACAGCCATATGTTAATCTTTACAAACCTTACAGAGCACTCATATGGGATATAGTCCATTCACTTCATCCTCTAGCCACCGCACCGCATATGATAGTCTCTGACTGTATAACATTCCTGTGCCTGTATATCTATATGCACATGAACCAGGCAGCCCATACTAAGGTTAGATAGAAAAAAACTGTGCTAGGAATTAAATAACACTCCAAGAGCAGCTGTGCTTAATAGGTGAGTACATCCAAAATAGAAAAAAAGAAAATAGCACTGCGCTTCAAACTCAAAAAAATATTCCTAAAATGTGAGAAAAATAGTATGAAAATTGTCACAATTATCATCAGCACAGGCATTGTGCAACACAGGTGTTGTGTATGACACAAAATTGTTTATCACTTTGTGACAATTTCACATTTCATACTATTTTTCCCACATTTTAGGAGTTTGAAGCGCAGTGCTATTTTCTTTTTAGCCCATGGTAAGCAAATGGGGGGGAAAAAGGAAACTCATCCATCCTCACTCACATGTGCCCACCTCTCTCGTGTCCCTCCGTCTCTCTCGTGGCCTTCTGGTATTCCGTGCTGCGTGGGGTGTTCTGTATTTGGTCTCTCATGGCCTTCTGGTAGCTGACGCTATGGGGGTAGTCCGTGCCTGGTCTCTCTCATGCTCTCAGGTGGTCGGTGCTATGTGGGGGGGATCCGTGTCTGGTCTCTCTCCTGCCCTCAGGTAGTCGGCGCTATGGTATTTCCGCGCTGGTGTCTTTGGCGGGAGGGAGGCGGTACTTGTGAGAGGAGGTGCTTTGTGGTCCTCAAATGGCTGCCTGGCAGGCTGCCCAGATGACCCCAGCAAGAGCAAGTCAGCCAAGCTAGCGTTGGGTCAGTGACTAAACTCTAATGGATTGTGGAGAAAGTCAGGTCGCCGACCTGGCTATGCTGTCAAACAGGGAGTCTGGATAACAAGACTGGCAAAACTGTATAATTGATAATAAAAGGGACTGCACTGCAAGGGTTAACTGCTCGTTTTGGTCTAGGGGCCAGAATACAGAAGATATGCTCACCTGATCCTTGGCCCTGCTGCAGTCAGCGCTCAGCTCTCTCTCTCCCCCCTCCTCTCTGGCTTTGGTATGTCCCTTGGCGCCTCACATCTAAAGCTGGTGAATGGACTGTACAGTATTAAGGTGCCCATACACCTTACGACCATCGCAAGACTTTTGTCTTGCGATGGTCGTATGCTTATTGAAAGCTCGTACGATCTGCCCACCTTGGACGGTCAGATCGTACTTGCAATCTTCGCAAGTCCGCCCCGCTGAGGGGCGGGCTTCCGATGACCGCAATGCAGAACAGGCAGTGTGCGCGTGCGACCGTACAGTAGAAACGGTCGCACGCCTTCCATACACTGTACGATTCTCGTACGATCGCGGGATTTTCCGCGATTCTCGTACGAGAATCGTACAGTGTATGGGCACCTTTAGACTTGATTATGTCAGTGGGGCTTAGGCCATTGGAGCCTAGGGAGAAGAGGCTGCAGGGACCAGTCTAGCAGTTTAATGGTATTGAAGATCAGGAGAGTGCATCTTCTTTAATCCAGCCTCTAGACCAAAATGAGCAGTTAACCCTTGCCGTGCGGGGATAGCCCCACTGGAAGGGTTAGTTTTGTTAGATCCTGGAGTTAGTTTTGTTAGATCCTGGAGTTCCTCTTTTAAGGCTGGTAGAACAGTTCCACAGTTTATTAAGCTGTTTGCCTGTGGTTCTCAGCATTAAGTTGGAAGGTAAAGACTGATAAGTGGGGTTTGTTGGGAGGGGGGTATTCTTTCCTTGGACCACTTTTGGAAGGTCCTGACCACTGCAGACCGATAACATCCCACAAGAGCGGCAGTTTTGGAGTTACTCTGACACTGTCATGTAGACATCACAATTTGGACCTTGTCAAAGTCGCTCAAATTCTTACTCTTGACCCTTTTTTCTGCTTCCAACACAACTTCAGGGACAAAATGTTTACTAGTTGACTAATATATCCCACCCACTTCCAGGTGCCACTGTAACAAATAATTAATGTTCTTCATATCACCTGCATAATGTTATGGCTGATCAGTGCATATTACAAAAATGTTGTCTCCACTCAGAACTAATACACTCATTAGTAACGGTCTGTTATTTGCATTATTTTAGATGATTTTTCCTTTGTTTGTGTGCTTTGCAAGAGGTCACTTTCTCTAAATTGCATCAGAGAATATTATTTCTGTAACCAAGAGTGTATAACATATTTTATTGATCATTTCAGATTTGTCATAAGAAAACACAGTGTGCAATCACATTGCCTGTGCCTGAAGGAAATCTACACCAGAGCAAGATGGAATGTAAACTGCCACCATACAGCATGTTACCTGCTTGAAGCATTTCTTTCAAAGCCTAATGAAAGTGAGTACAAACTGCATTATGAATGCCTTTTAATCAGCTCCAGAATCATTCATTGCTGCCATGACTAACGGTATCAAGGGATCTCGTTTTGTTCCAGCTGAATGTGAACAGTTGCTATCTGCTCTTTAAAGTCAATACACTTTATAGCGGCTCCAAGTGTCGGGGGCTTAATCTGTTGGCAGCTGAATTGGCATTACGGCTAGTGAGTAATAAAGGAAGTTTGTTCTAATCTGTCATTGTTAATGCAGCTGTGAAAGATTGCTGACAATAAATGGTTAATGCACCATGGGGGTGTATAAATGTTGGGAACCAGTTTCAGGGATGGCTGCTTGGTTTCTGATAGGGTGTATTATTTTTGGAGTAGTTATCCCTAAAAAATCATTCATTACATTTATTGGTGAGTTAAAGCTAAATTCTGGTAAACATGCATAATTGTATTCAGTATTGTATTCCTTACCTAACTCTTTGTAGTGATGCCTTGTGTTCTGTGCACTCTTCCGGTGTTATTTCTATGTTGTGGCGATGTAGAGATCGGGATAGATTCAGTAATTTAGCAAAAGGCAACTGGGCAGGGCTGACAGCATATTCTGCAAACTCCACTTTACACAATGCTGTATAGTGTGAGCCAACAGCAGGAAATTAAGAGTTGAGCACATTTTGGGAAATCAACAGGTATTTCTCTGTACTTGAAGAAGAAATCCAGGCAAAGAAAAACCTTGCCATTGCAGTAGGGCTTCCTCTGCAACTGCAAGGGTTAACTGCTCATTCTGTTATGGAGGCTCAAATAAAGAAGATACACTTACCTGATACTTGGTCCTGCTGGCTCCCTCCAGACTGCTAGACTAATCCACACAGCCTCTTCTTCTCTGTGCTCCAGCAGTCTAAGGACCACTGATGTCATCACGTCTAATGTTGATCCACTGACCTGCATTAGATGTGAGGACACAGAGGGACATTCCATAGCCAGAGCAGAAAGGGGGAGAGAAAGGGTTGCAGAGATGTACTGGATATGTTTTTATTGTTTTTTTATTTTGCCCTGGTATACACTTCAAAGTTAGATGATCTTTTATACAAATTCAGCCTTTACATGAACGGTACATGTCTATTTGATCAAATCAAATTGATAGTACCTCTTTCTTGCCATGAATGAAATAATTAAGTTCTTGAAATGGTTAGAATGTTTAGGCCTGTGGAGCCCAGCTTTTAAAAGGAGAAATTGAGAAATAGAACAACGTGGACTGGGGTGGTAATTAATAGTTACTGGCACAGAATTCCTTTTCAATTTTAATGGCACGGCTGGTACATATTTATACACATTAATATACCTAGGTGCTTTTGAATCCATTTGAGCTTCAGATTTTAGAGGGGGAGCGAGAGTACCAAATTAGGGTGTAGTGAGAAGGTCAGTGTTTTTAGGGTGTGGCCTATTGCAGGCTTGCTGGTGCTAGAGAAGGATGAGAGGAGCTGTACAAAAACATTGGAGGAGCATAAGAGTAACAGTAGAGTGCCTCTGAAGGTCCAGATAACCAATTCTGCTGAAGGCTGATTAGAGTAGCAGTACAGAGAGGTGCTTGATGCAGACAATTGGACCTGTAAAGAAAGAGGACCAGTAAATGGGGGTGCTGCAGGAGAACAAGAGGACCAGTAAATGGGGGTGCTGCAGAAGAACAAGAGGACCAGTAAATGGGGGTGCTGCAGATGAACAAGAGGACCAGTAAATGGGGGTGTTGGATGAGCACAAGAGGACCAGTAAAGAGGGGTGCTGGAGGAGCACAAGAGGACCAATAAAGGGGGGTGCTGGAGGAAGACAAGATGACCAGTAAGGAGAGGTGCTTGAGGAGGACAAGAGGACTAGAACAGGGAGTGCTAAAGTCAGACAGGAAAATGGATGAGTGGACCTCTATGGGAAATCATTACACGTGGATGAGATGTAAAAAGGTGCATGTGTGTTGCCTACATGGGGAAGAGATGGCATCTGGATGCACTATGGGAAGAAAACAAGTCGGCAGAGGCAGTGTGATGCTTTGGGCAATGTTCTGCTGGGGTCCTGCTATTCATATGGATGTTACTTTGACATGTACCACCTAACTAAACATGGTTGCTGACCAAGTGCACCCCTTCATTGAAACTATTCCATGATGGCATTGGCCTCTTTCAGCAGGATACTGCACCCTGCCACATAGCAAAAATGGTTCAATAATTGTATGTACCAATATTATTATGGTTTCAACTCTACTTGTTTCGGATGTGTTCACATCTTGCATTTCAATAAAACCTTTTGAATGGAAAAAATGGTTCAAGAATGGTTTGAGGAACACAAAAACGACTTTGAAGTGTTGACTTTGCCTCCAAATTTTCCAGCTCTCAATCCAATCGAGCATCTGTGGCATTTGCTTGAGAAACAAGTCTGATCCATGGAGTCCCACCTCGCAACTCACAGGACTGAAAGGATCTACTACTGACGGCTTGGTGCCCGATACCTCAGCATTCTGAGATCTAGTGGAGTCCATGCCTCGACAGGTCACGGCTGTTTTGGTGGCAAAAGGGGGACCTACTCAATATTAGGCGGGTGGTCATAATATTATGGCTGATCGGTGTATATATTATGCATAATAAAAGCACATAAAGGTGTGGTGCCGGTTGCTGGATGAGGTGAAGCTCTGCTGACTTCCATCATCCACTCATGTGCAAGCAAAAACACTTTTTTTTTCCCTGCACATGATTGGGTATTCTTTGCAAAGTTAATTCCTGCCAGATTCAGTTCGCTAAAACTGGCCATGCACCAGAAGAATTTTGTTAAAAGAATTGTTAAAACAAAGCATTTGTTCAGTTTATGTATAGGTAATGGGGTCAAATTGATGGCCGTTTTCAACCGTAGTGACATAAAAAATCGAAGGAGTAGGATGGGAAGTTTTTTTTTTTTTCTCGAATAAACCAAAACTTTTTTCGTTTTGGGAACTACAATCATCCCAAAATCAAATGTTAAAACCAAAACTAAATTAGGAATGACATTCGTCAAGTCTTTGATGGCATTATCAAGATTTTTCATATGAATGTTCATATGAACATCTACCAGTGTATGGCCAGCTTGATGGGAAAATGCCCTTGCATAGTGAACAGCATATTTAGTAAATCAACCCAGTCTCAGAAAAGCATAGCTCACATGCAGTAACCTGCACACCATCCCTGTGTGTTTTTACTGTACAGAATCTATATGGCTATTTAAATGTATTCCTAATAGTGTATAATATACAGAAAGGAAATACAATCGATGTTTCAGCTAGTAAAGCACTTGAGAAATGGTCACAATTCTTCGGTTAGGATGTCATAAACAAGTGGATCATGGACATGATCTTGCACGTGGTTATTTAAGGATCATGTAATACACATCCTATGTCACAATTGTTTTAGCTACTTACAACTTTTGATTACTGTGTCCTTTGGGGAGTATAAAATAAATACGTCCCGACAGGTCATCTGAAGTGGAGGTGCACTCAGTAGTGATGGTGGGTATATTAGGATTCTCTGCGTTCCATTACATATCAAACATTCCCTGATGGCATATTTTCAAGATGCGTACCCAACTAATTATGCATCTTCATGCTGTTAGTGCCAAATCCAGGAACAAGAACATCTGTTTTCTTTTCTTCAGGATTGACACATTAAACATTGCCGACAATGTCTTCTGCTAATATTTTAACATCATGGGAGAAACTTGTACGAATAGTATTGTGCTGAAATAATAGTTATTATGTTTACAATACAAATTATTGTTTACATTATGGAGAAATATATGTTAATTTATCCAGTAATTTCATCACTTTTACCCAGTATGAGTTTAAATGCTCTACCTCATGTGTTAACCGGACATAGGGAGGACCAGGCAGCTTTAGATAATGAAGGTACTTTCTATAACACATGAATAATTTATCTAATGCTTATTTTTTGTTTGAACACTAAACTGCAGATAGATATAAAACACATCAATAATTATAGTTACATGTGTTTGTGTATAGAACCGGCATAAGCATCTGACTCTGTCCTGATATATGCTTCTTGCATTATTCTGCATAGTAGCATTCAGACTGGGAGAGGAAGTGGCAATGCTATCAGCCATAGCTGGTTCTATCGTTTTGAACAGTGATGTCAGTCAACGATTTGCACGTGTCTGCAGGAAAGAGCAGGTGAACACCTAATCAGTTAGCTACTTCTCTTTCATTGTCCAGTCACAGGCTGGGGGCAGGTTGGTGACCACTCTGTATGGCGTAACTGTAGTAGAGCACTTTAGGTCACCAACTTGGCTCTACTATCTGGCAGGGATATATGGGCTAGCAGATTGTGTGAGCACAATTACAAGGTTTTGGCATTTGAAGCAGTTTCTTAATGTGTATTTCAGTTGTATTTAGCTGTTTGCATAGAGTTAAGCTTAAGGGTACATTCCTGTAAACATAAAAATGTATATTTAAATTCCCTCAGGGGTTACAGTCTATTTTCTGAGTTGCTCCCGGTTTCAATGTGGTCTTTATCTTTGCACCTGCCAGCCCTGCTAGCTAAATAATTCTAGTATCTTGAAACTGAGCTTGCAGAAATTGGGTTTCCCACCCATCTGTAGGAAGGCCTTACACAATACAGAATCATGTGGCCGGAGCCCGCAGCCCTGCTTAGAAGTACCTTGAGAAGCTTTTTTGAAATTACCTGCAGCAAGTTATGTACAACTGAGTGTATGATATAGTTTTAGCATAGTTGCAGTTTCTGCTGCATAACATTTACAGTTATAAATGACACAACAATGACCATATTTGTTCTTTGTATTGATCTCTGTGTGTTTAACTATATGCAGTGGTTTAACAACAATTAATTTTATCATGTTATTATACTAATTCATGTAACTGGGCTTTTAGCATATGAGCCTGAAGTTCTAAATTGGTACACATTGCCTTGCTGTGTCTTCATTATCAGATTTAGAGGTGGCATTGATGGGCTATATAGACTCATATGCA